GTACCACTTAAGTTTGAGAATTGAGTTAGACATATTACTTAATATAGAATTGGTCGTCGGGTACCATTCAAGTCATCTAAAGGTGTATCCGTCTATTTTAATTATCTTTTGGTACCCAAAATTTTTAAAAACATCCAAAATTATATTTTAACAAGTGTTAACTAATATAAATATTAGAAAAACTTCTAAACATAGTATTACTAGAATGGCTAATGACATTTTTCGATAAATTAGTAAAAATAATAAACAATATCTAGAAAGAACAATAAATATACTAAAAAGATAATAATGAATATTTAAAATCAATATTAGAAGATCTATTTAAACTCCTAATCCAATTAAAAGCACGACTAAAATAGTTAAAATAGATCCTAATCGACCATCAATACATCAAGATCTAAGAAGGATAAATGAAACACAATTCATAGGATATATTTGCTCCAGACAAAAAGAAATCACTTCAGCACACAATAATGAAGCAGAAATCTGCGCAAATACCTCATTGAAGCAGAAATCTGCGCAATTCATAGGATATATTTGCAGCGCCGTAAGCAACTGCCAGACGGGGTCGAAGAGTCATACGCGAAGGAAAACAAAATCGTGGGCGACATGATGATCCAGGGAAGGACGAGTTAATCGCGTTTGTTTAAGGCATCGGAGGGGTTGGGAAGTCCACGACGAGGTGACGAGGAGAAGCAGGTGATGTGCCAATTTGATAGCAATATAGCAGTGGTGCGGTGAAAAGAGCCGCAGATGGGTGATTAGGGATTGCGGTGAAACAGATGAGTTAATCGCGTTTGTTTAAGTCACCATTAGCATGGAACAAAAGGGTAAAAGCTTGAGCGCCTACGAATTAATTACCTTTTCTTCTCCTTGTTCCTCTTCAACACATGTACTAGGAAGACAACTTTTACCGGAACCAGGAGGAGAAACCCTAGCATCATCAATACTCCTCTTTTTGCCCTCGACTGACTTCTCTACTGATGATGTTGTCTTGTTGTCGCCTTCTTCTTCTTCTTTTCTGGGTCCTTGTCCATGTCGTTTTGAAGCCTCTTTCCTAGCCGACGAGGAGCACTCCAGCAGCAGCTTCCGTTGCTTCCGTTGCTTCTGCAAACACCGCTGCCTCCTCTTGTATTTCATTGCTCTGGACATCAATAACCTTAAACGAAACGCTCCAGGCCATTCTCGATGTGTATTCCCACCCTTAAACGAAACCCTAGACTAGATATATAAACCACACACACACACACAAACAGGGAACTCATAACATGCCATGCAGATCAAAGGAGCGGGGAAAACAGAGACTTACAATGATTTTTACCGACCTCTTCTTCATGTTTTCTTCAATCGGTGAATGAGGAGAGGAAGAGAACGAGCGGCCGTCTGGGGGGAGACCGAGAGAGACGATCGATCGAGTTGTGTTAAGGGACTTGGCCGGGGCGGGGTTTACTGGAACAAGATGGGCCGTTGGGGTGGGCTACAACACACACAAGGACTGGGCTGGTGGGCTGGTGGCTTCACCCTATAGTTTTTACTTCTAGATCGTTTTCCACGTGTTCGGTGAATTTAACTAACTAAATTACATCAAATATTTATTGTCATTTCGTTAATTTAAAAAAAAACTCTTTATTTTAAAGCTGAATGAGAAAACTGTAACTTCTCGTTTCAAATTTTGTGACATGCTTAGTAATCTACATCTACAAATATATTATATAAGAGTTGTGAAAAGTTTTTCAGTATTTCAAATTTTCTGCAACGAGAACAAAAATAGGAAAAATAATTGTATCTTTAATAGGATTAAATTAATAGTAAGATTTGAACCATGATCTTTCAAATAAAGACAACAACAACCATTACCAATTACACTAAAGGAATGCGTTGTATCTTTTTTAAATACAAAATCTGAAAACCTAATATCTAAAAATCATATGACTTCTCTATTGTTGGCTATCCCATATCTCTCCCGTAAGTACTTTATTTGATATTTGAATTTTTATATTTTGATCATTTTAATTTGAGTTTAATAATAAATTTAATTTAGGTCTATCTTATAAATAGAGTATAATTCTTCAAAAATAATAAAAATGAAAAATAAATAGAGGATAATTTTAAAATTGCAACCCAAATATCATTGATTCGAATGTTGCATATTGAATTGCAGTATTGAATGTATAGATGTGACGTGGAATTATTAAATTGGTATTAATTTTTAGAACTATTAAAGCAACGATATTGTTATGCAAATTGTAAGTGACTAGTTTTTTGAAAGGTTTAGTTTGGTTAAACGTTATAACCTATATCTCTTGATAATTTAGCATGATTGGACGAATGGATGAATTTAATAGAACACAATTTCTTGATACCATTTTTTTAGATGATTTCAATTATTGAAATCTTTTATCTTATATGGAAATTGACAGTATGTATCATTCATAGTTACTTAGTTTAATATGAAATAAGCGCAGTACAAGACAAATCGTGAAAGTCGGGCTGGAGTTTTCAGGGACGCATTGATGTGGTCATGTGCATTAGCAAGGTAGGTACCACAAGATAGATTTAATATTTTTGTTGAGTGAATAAGATTGTCCTTCAACTAAATTTAGAGTATATTGGTTGATCAATAATTTTTTCATTGCATAGAGTATGGATGAAAAATGTTATTTTCTTACTAATTTTGTTATTGTATTGTGCAGAATACTTTAACGTTTAGATATTGCTATATATGTATTGTTTCTCCAGCAAAAGAAATAAATATTGACTAAAGGTTATGATCATGAGTTTTCTGTTTATGCTACGCTTTTTCAGACAAACTCTTTTTGTCATGTCAATTTTCTTTTCAACCATAGGCAACTAACTGATTACCTCATTAAATAGACAAGTTATGAATGATTATTAACGAGTGTTATAACCAAGGTTGTTACACCTATACCGGGCGGCTGGTTGGACAAGGTCTGACGAAAGTCCAGCTAAAAAATGGGCTCTACAAAACCAAGGTTATGATCGGTAGAGAGGAAGAAGAAGAGAGAGGGAAGGGGGAGGGGGGAGAGGCAATGGAATGGTGGGTGGATCATGAGATCAATTTGTTTTTTAATGGAATTTAAGTTTTAATAGATATAGGTTAGTACATTCCATTTCATTCACTGATTTCTATCTTATATGTAAATATATTTAGAAAAGGTGTAAAACGGCCCAAATAGGTTGGACCTCGATCAAACCATTAAATTTTAAACCGCTTGCTTAACCGACTCAACGAATTAAACTGGTTTGGCAACGTCGGTTATAATCATTAAGATTACAATGTTCATCATTGAAGAAAAGTTATAATAATTTCGAAAATAAAAAAAATAATTCTGATATCCCCTTAATGTCATACAAAATTCAGCAATTCAAATAATTTAAAAAATTTAAATACACATCATAAATACATTATATTCTAATGATATTCCGATCAATGGGTCGGACAACAAGCTATTATTTATTATTGTCAACTTCCCGGTTCATATTTGTTTTTATATTTATTTGAGGGAGAGAATGAGGTGTAATATTTAAAAAAAAAATTAAAAATTGACATGTCGATATGTTAACCGCCTAGTAAGCAATTTCGTTTTGCCACGTTATAAAAAATATGACGGTGTTAAGTGTTAACGGAGTTTAACAGAGACTGACGCCCGGTGACTAGCGTTGAAACGAATAATAAAGTTAGTGACTAACAAGAAAGAAAAGCAATTCGGGTGGCAAACGTGAAAGATTTATGTAATTCGAGTGACCAACCGAGTAATTTAGTTATTTTTCATGTGTAAATTTATATATTTTTTGCTTCTTCGTTTTCGTGATTTATGGCCTCGTGGAAGATGCTAAATAGGACTGGGAATTGGTGCGGTGGCGATTAACCTCACCAAAATTTGGGGTTAACCGCAGCCGAAACGGATGTATACATGCAAACCGCAATCGCACTGTAAATTGTTTGTGGTTAACCACTAATTGCAAAGTTTGGTTAACGGTTAATTGCTTCAGTAATCATTCTAATGAGTTGCGGAAATTTTGGGTTTTGGCACGTGCCGGCGGTGCGGTAGGATGGATCAATTGCCACTAGATCACAGTTAACAATGCCAGTTTTCGATTAAACTACAGTTACCTGTGCCGCTAGTGAGGTAGGATGGATTCATTCTGCTCTTTGAAATGTCATCCACTTTCATATATTTTGAAACAAAAAAATTGACTTTTATTACTGGTCCACCAACCCATGCGGTACTACTTGGTATGTATGTAAGATTATACGATGTGGTACGGAAGTGTACCGTGGTGGTAGATATATCATAGTGTAGAATGGTTGTATATATATGATATTAGGAATATACTAACTGTCATTTACCATATATTATTGTTATCTACCACCAGTTACCACCTTATACTAGGATCGTATAAGGTGATAAATTTTGGTCCTAAAATTTTTTTCCCCTGAATATTTATATATCCAATAAAGCATGATAAACTCTTTCCTTCTTAGCAATATTATCCAAAATTCAGCCCCTTTAATTTTCCATCGTGAAACTGCATAGCCCAACCAGCCAGCCAGGAACGGCATAAACAATAAGAAAATAACCACACTTTTCAAAACACGATCGAAAGTAGTTTGACTGGGGAGTCATATATGTTGAACAAATATCAACATACCACAAGACGAGCTCAACAAGAATATAAGTCCAGTGTGGAACAAAAGGGCAAAAGCTTGAAGCGCCTAAAATTAATCACCTTTTTTACTTTCGCGATATATACCTACGAATATCAGCTCTAAGAAACCAACGATTAGGGCGGGATTGTTCACATGTCCAATTATCACGGCCTCCGCTACACATATAATCTGTCCAGCCAAACTCCTCGACTAACTTCTTTAATGATGATGTCAGATTATCATTGTCTTCTTCTTCTTCGCAAGAATCAGATGATGTTGTCTTATTGTCGCCTTCTTCTTCTTCTTCTTCTTCTTCTCCGGGTCCTTGTCCATGCTGTCGTTTTGAAGAGCTACAGGCCGGTGCAGAGGTGGTAGCTCCTCCAACAGCAACAACCGCTGAAGCCTCTTTCCTAGCAGACGAGGAGCACTCCAGCAGCTTCCATTGCTTCTGCTGCCGCTGCTGCAAACACCGCTGCCTCTTCTTGTATTTCATTGCTTTGGACATCAATAACCAGCTTAAACGAAACGCTCCAGGCCATTCTCGATGTGTATTCCTAGCCCTAGGGGTTGATCGCATCCGCCTAACTGAATGTGGAAGATGAAAATCCAGCAGCAGGCAAAGATGAAATTCGATTGTACACAAGTATGTAAAAGGCAGACAGTAAGATCGCGAAACAGACAGACAATAAAAAGGAAGAAATAATTAATTACCCACCCTTGTTCAGATCTTTAACTTCCCGAGGGCCTGATTTACAAGCAGCGAACATGAAGCTTTGTCCTGCCATGGCCTCTGCAAAATCAGGCACACTAAAAGTTGTCAAGCAAGTAACGAGTTCCTCGTAAGCTGGCAAAGGCTTGCAACCTAGGGATAGAGTGTCTCCCGAATCTAACCAAACACCATCTTGAACCACAGCAGGCAGTCGAGCACCCTCAAATCAGAGGAAACCCTTAAATTTAAATGGGAATTAAAACCCTAGACTAGATATATAAACCACAAACACACACGCACAAACAGGGAACTCGCTCATAACATGCCATGTATTTGGTCCAGATCCAGCCATGATGGAGATCAAAGGAGATTCTCAAGGGAAAAACAGAGGCTTACAATGATTTTTGCCGACCTATTCTTCAGGTTTTCTTCATTCGGCGAACGAGAGAGAAAGAGAACGAGTGGCCGTCTGGGGGTGAGACGAACGACGAGTTGTGTCAAGGGACTTGGGGCAGTGTTTACTGTTTACTCCAAACCCTAGCAAAAACCCGAACAGTAACTTCCATAGAAAGTTATTCACTTATTCTACAACTACAACTAGCATGTTGTCCGACCGACCCGTTGGTCAGAATGTCATTTGATTACAATGTATTTTTTTATGTGTATTTAAAATTTTATATTATTTTAAATGATGAATTTCGTATGATATTAAGATGACATCGAAATTATTTTTTCATTTTCAAAATTCTTATAATTTTTCATCATTAATAAACATTATATTCTTAATGGTTATTATCAAAGTTGTGAAACCGGTTTAAGACGTTGAGCCGATCAAGCAAGTGGTTTGAAGTTTAATGGTTTGATTGAGGTTCAACCTGTTTGAGCCGTTTTACACATTTTCTAAATATATTTATGTATAAAATAGAAATTTAGTGACTGAAATGGAAAGTTCTAACTTATATCTATTAAAAACTCAAATTTCATTAAAAAATACCTATCTCAAGATCCACCCACCATCCCCTTGCCTCTCTCTTATTCTCTCTCTAACGATCAGACTTTTGATTTTGTAGAGCCCGTTTTGGAGCACGACTTTGGTCGGACCCATAGCAACCAGTCCGATAGAGGTTTAACAATCTTGATTATAACAATCGTAATAACCATTCATAACTTGTCTGTTTAATCAACAGTATAATTTATAGTTGAAAAGTAAAACTGCACCCCCCATTCAAATTTTCATGCCCATAGAGTGATTTTAGGAAGCTGATGTGGCAGAGTGTTAAGCGGGAAAAAAGTAGGAGTCCCCGCCAGATTTCAGAACCAAAAAACTGTCCACTACCCACCTTTTCTCCTTCCAGCTCACGTTGTCATTTAATTTGCATTTATTTTTTATTTGGCTGAAATAAGCCCACCTTTTCTACTGGTTATTAAGAGAGAGAAGAAATTCACGGAAAGGGAAGAGCAATTGCAAGCACATTAAAGAGAGAGAGAGAGGGTGAAAGGTGAAAGGGAGGAGATTGAGACATCTGCCACCAATTTACAGAGCTGGTTGTGGTTCCTTCCGCTTTCTTTCTTCTTTCTTCTCTCTTACCTTTTTCTCTTCATTCTATTGATTGGATTCTCTAGGGATCAAAAGGGGTTTTTTGATTTTTCCCTTTTTCTTTTCCAATCTGAGTTTTTCTCTCTCGACCGATTCGTCGGGCGGCTCGCTGTGGAGGGAGGTGGGGAGAAGCGGAGGGGATTTGGGGGGATAGGCAAGCCTAATCGAGAAATCTGCCTCCTGTGTTTGGAGAGAGGACGGAAAATTTTGACAGTGGAGGGTGAAAGCAACGGAGTCGAGGAGAGGGAAGGAGGAGTCATTGAGCTGCTCGATTCTATTTGTTGTCGTGTTGGGAGTGGAAATTTGATTGTTTTACTCTGATTTGGTTTGTGGGTTATGAATGTGTTTGTTTTTTGGGGTGAGAAAGAGAGAAAAAATATGGTGGATGATGGCTGAGAATGGCGGCCATTACTGCTCGAAGAAGACAGATGATATGTGTGGTGATGTTTGCGGCCAGGATTCTGGCCGGGTCATGAGCATATAATGGTAGCAGCATTCTGGCCAGGAATCGAAAAGGCAGGGTACCATTTGCTTCCCCAAATTCTCATATTGTCATGTTCCTTATTGTCACACAATTTCCTGATACTTTCCCTGCATGCAGATTGTCATCCAATTTGCTGAAGAGTTTTGTCATATGCTAATTTCATAGCTGCTAAGGTATTCTGGCCTCTAATCTTTGAATTGGTAGGTTATCATGTATTTGTCTATGCATCGTCGATTCACTTTTCGTGTTCCTTTTCATATAAGTTGATTTTGTGAACAACCATATCCTATTTCAGATTGCGTCAGGTTATTGGAGAATTAAATATGGATAGTGCAAATGTCATCCCATCTGCCGAACCACAGATTTATCAATCGTCTGTGCCATGTGAGTGTCATGGTTTAGCACGAAACTGTTTTTATGCAAATTGACATTAATATTTTCCTTTGAATCTCATTTGTTTAGGGAAACGTCGAGCAGTTTTTATTCATCCTGAAGATCAGTACCAACGGTGTGTTTTATCTGTTGAAGAGGAAGAAGCATTTGAGAGAGGTGTGTTCTCTGTGTTTTAATTTTTCTAATTAGTTCATCTATTCAATGAGTAATACATGGTTTTATATTTAAATTCTGCAGAAGAAGCTGCCTTACAATTCCAACTCTCTCAACTTCAGCGAATGCTATCCCAAGTCGCCCGTAAGAGAAGACATCATATTTTGAAACAGAAGGTTCGTAGGAGGGGCTTACCTTTTGAACACCAAGGTTGTTGTTTGCTATATTTTGTAGCAAGTCTTACATATTAGGCTATTCTGTATTGTTCACTCTTTATTTATTTCTTTATCAACTTATTTGTTTTGGTGTTGTTCATAGTTTGGGAGCCTCAGTTTAGATTTCTATTATAAAAGCAAAGTCGATTACTTCGACGTATTTATCTGCATAGAAAGAGACGTGGCCGAAGTTTCTTTCCTACAGAAGTCAATCAAAGTAAGTGGATTCTAATGGGCACTGTTATACATGACATGGTTCATCTATATTTTGGATCAATTTGTGTACATTGGATATATGTTTTAGTGTTCTGGTCAACATATTTTGTTCCCTATTTTGGTCTTACAACATATAATGTAGCCATTTATGTCATGTATATAATTTAGTGATGTACGCTTCATGTGACCTTATGCAAATAGTGGATTGTTTTTAGATGTGTCAACGACAAATTTGTGTGTTTTGAATAAAATTTAGTGTTTCCTTAAATTTTAGTTATTCTTACTTAAAATGAGAAGTATACCATTCTATCTTTCCTTGAAAACATTTGTTTTAATAATTGTGTTTAATGTAGCGCGAGTACATGAGCTTGACAGTTTCTCAAACTCATTCAATTTATAAATTAATGTGACAAAAATATATTAATATTACTTATTTATTTCACTAGGTCTTCCGTTAGTTGAATTTTTTGATATTGATCCACCTTCATGTACATGTCAACATTGTGGAGCAGTTATGTGGCGGTTCGAGAGTACTTTATCTTCACGGAATGATGTGTTGCCTGCATTTCCTTTATGTTGCAAACATGGTAAAGTGAAATTGCCTCCTCGCAGAGATGTGCCCCAATTTCTTAAAATTCTACTTGAAGGGGATACACCATTAGCGCGTCACTTTCGTACTAACATCAGAGCCTATAATGGGGGGTTTTTGCTTTATTTCTCTCGGAGGTAAAGTCAATCACTCTATTAATGATGGTCTTGGAGTTTATGTATATTCAATCGGTGGTCAGATTTATCATGGAATAGGATGTTTGGTTCCTGGTGATGGGGATAGTCCGAAATTTGCACAGGTTTACATTCACGATTCAGATAACAAGGTCCAGAATCGTATGGACTTTTACTCCACTGATCCTGCCAAGAATCCGTTGCGCCAGTGTATTGTTGAAGGCCTTCAGCATATGTTTGAGGACAATAATATCCTGGTACGTACATTTTGTTCTGCGCGAGATAGGATACAAAACTCTGGTGTCCAGGAGCTTCAACTGAAACTATTGGCTAAGCGTGAAATTAATAGTAGAGAATATGATTTGCCCTCTGCGAATGAGATTGCAGCATTGATTGTAGATGAAACAGGAGAGTAATCATTTTCTCCAGATATAATTGTTCAACAGAAGGGTTCAGAAATGGAAAGGATTAGCGTATACCATCCAAGTCTGATCGCATTACAATATCCAATTTTATTCCCATATGGCGAGGATGGGTGGCATCCCTGCATTAACTATAGTCACAGTAGCTCTAATATCCGTGTTGGAGATAAAATGATAACGCAGTGTGATTTCTATGCATATCGTCTTCAAACCCGTCTCCAGGAGTCAAATTCTCTGTTATTATCTGGTAAATTGTTTCAACAATATATGGTGAATGCATTTGCGTTAATTGAGGCTGAACGCTTAGACTGGATGCGTACCCATCAGTCGAAGCTAAGAGGACACTACTACAAGGATTTGTTGAATTCTTATTTGCGAGGGGATAGTGATATCAAGCTTTCTGGGAAGCCAGTTATTTTAGCTGCCTCACACACTGGTAGTCCAAGATACAAGTATGAAAATTTTCAGGATGCGATGGCTATTTGCAAGTGGATTGGTTATCCTGATTTGTTTATAACATTCACTTGCAATTCTAACTGGCCAGAGGTACAGTTAACGGTTGATTTGATTAGAAGGTACAGTGGCAAAGATCCTGACCGGGCTGATATCACCGCCAGAGTTTTCAAAATAAAGCTTGATGAATTTATGTTAGAGATTCGCGAGAAACAAATATTTGGGAAAATCAATGCATGTATGTGTGCTTATTTATTCGTTATTTATCTATTAATGTTCATCCATCACTCTCTTACCTCATTGAACTAATATTCCTTTTCCACTATTTGCATCTTGCGGTACAGATGTCAAAGCAATTGAATGGCAAAAGCGGGGTCTCCCTCATGCACACATATTGCTTTTTTTGGCCTCGGAGAATAAATTCCATGGTCCTGCGGCTATTGATTCATAATATGTGCTGAAATTCCGGATCCTGATCTTGATCCTGAGCTATATGCAGTTGTCACAAGTTTAATGATGTATGGCCCGTGTGGTACAGTACGTCCTAATAATGTGTGCATGAAGAATGGGAAATGTAGTAAGCATTACCCCAAGGAATACTCTTCTCAAACAACTATCGATGAAACTGGGTTTGCTAAATACTGTCGGCGGAACAATGGATAATCGATGGGTTGTACCCTACAATCGATATTTATTACTACGATTTGGAGCGCATATAAATATTGAATATTGTAACAAGACAAGGTATGGCTGAAGTAAATCGTATTTATCT